TAATGCAGCCTAGCACTGTGTTGGCCTTTTTGGCAGCTGCAGCACACTGCTGGCTCATATTTAGTGATTGTCTACTAGGACTCCGAGGTCCCTCTCACAGTTACTACTATTGAGCATGGTGCCACCTATGCTGTACTTGTGCATTTGGTTTTTCTTGCTTTTTTCACCATTGAATTTCATTTTGTTAGTTAGTGCCCAGTGTTCAAGTCTGTCCAGATCCTTCTGTATCTTAAGCCTGTCTTCTGGAGTGTTGGCTATTCCTGCCAGCTTGGTGTCGTCTGCAAATTTGATGAATTCCCCATCTATCCCTTTGTCCAAATCGTTGATGAAGATGTTGAAGAGCACTGGGCCCAGAACAGAGCCCTGGGGCACCCCACTACACACTTCTCTCCTTATAGATGCAGTTCCATTGAGGACCACTCGCTGAGTACGGCTGGTCAGCCAGCTACGGATCCATCTGGTGGTGATTCTGTCTACCCCACATTTTTCTATCTTATCAAGTAGTAGGTTGTGATCTACTTTATCAAATGCCTTACTGAAGTCCAAGTAAATTATGTCCACAGCATTCCTCTGATCCACTAATTTTGTCACTTGGTCAAAGAATGCAATAAGATTTGTCTGGCATGATCTATTTTTGACAAACCCATGTTGGCTTTTAGTAATGACTTTGTTTGCCTCTAGGTGTTCGTTGATTCGTTGTTTGATTATCTTTTCCAGGATCTTCCCAGGTATTGAGGTCAGGCTGATAGGTCTGTAATTTCCTGGATCCATTTTTTTTCCTTTTTTGAGGATGGGAACTACATCAGCTCTTTTCCAGTCCTCTGGTAGTTCCCCTGTGTTCCAGGATCTTTGAAAAATATAGTTTAGTGGTTCCGATATCACATCTGCCAGTTCCTTGAGAACCTTGGGGTGTAATCCATCTGGTCCTGGCAATTTGAACTCATCTAGGCTGGACAAGTGCTCACTTACCATTTTCTTGCCTATCTTAACTTGTGTTTCTATTTTGTTTTTTATGGCACTATTTTTGATAGTCTGTTTTTTCCCTTTGTGTAAAGACAGATGCAAAAAACTAGTTAAATAGTTCTGCTTTCTCCCTGTTGCTTGTCACCTTCTTGCCACTTCCACCCACTAATGGACCAATCATTTCCTTCACTTTTTTCTTGTTTTTTACATGTTGAAAGAAGCTTTTTTTGTTATTTTTGACTTTGGTCGCAAGCCTTAGTTCATTTTGAGCCTTGGCTTTCTTCACTTCATCTTTGCAGGCTCGGGCTATTTGCTGATATTCTGACTTAGTTATGTTCCCCTCTTTCCACTTTCTATACTTGTCCTTTTTATCTTTCAATTTGTCAGAGAGTTCTTTATGCAGCCATGCTGGTTTCTTTTGAGAGCTGTTGTTTTTCCTCTTTGTTGGTATTGTGCTAGACTGTGCTTTTATTATCTCATTTTTCAAAATTTCCCAAGCTTCTTGAGTTGTTTTCCCCTTGAGGATTCTCATCCATGGAATCCTTCCCAAGCCCTCTCTAAGTTTATTGAAATTAGCTCTCTTGAAGTCCAAGACTCTAGTTTGACTGTGTTCTATTGCTTGTGCTTCTATAATGTTGAATTCTAATATTGCATGATCACTTCCTCCCAGGGTTCCTATGGCTTCAACACCGTCTATCATTTCATCTCTGTTAGTGAGAATTAGATCCAAAATGGCTAATCCCCTAGTTCCCTTCTCTACTTTTTGGGATACAAAGTTGTCTGCTAGGTTTGCCAGGAACCTGTTTGATCTTCCACTTGGTGCGGAGTTTGTCTCCCAGTTGATGTCAGGGTAGTTAAAGTCCCCCATTACTATTGTGATGTGCCTCCTACATACCTTAGTTAGCTGACTAGCAAAAAGTTCATCTATTTCCTTTGTTTGGTTGGGTGGTCTCTAGTATACACCTATGGCAATGTCATTTTCCCCCCCCCTTTTATATTGACCCAAATGCATTCAAGACAGTTTTTTATCATTGTTGTGCTCTATTTCTGTAGAGATGTAGTTATTTCTTATATAGAGAGCAACTCCACCTCCTCTTTTATTTGGTCTGTTTCTTTTAAATAATTTAAATCCCTCTAGCTGTGTGTTCCATGTGTGGGTTTCATCCCACCATGTTTCCGTAATGGCAACAATATCGTATCTGCCCTCATTAACCTGAATTTCTAGTTCATCCTGTTTGCTGTTCATACTCTGTGCATTGGTGTATAAACATTTGAGTCCTTTGTGAGTGGCCCTGTTTCCTTTCTACATAACCTGTGTGGTGGCTGAGTTCCCCTATTGTCTTATCACCTATTTGGTTAGTGCACTTTGTGTGGCACTCGCTATTAGAGGCTTCATTTTGCTTGATAGCAAGGTTGGTATTCTTGTCCACACACATACTTTAATTTAAAGTAATATGTAACTGTATTTTTTGGGGAAAAAAATAAGTTTGTTATGTATTTTCTGATACGACTACTTTAAATCAATATTAAAGTTAAATAAAGATACACATATCTAAAAAGTAGGGAAGAATGTCATTGTTTTTCAAATGTTAGAATTTTTAGTCAGTTTTTAGAAAGCAAATAAAATTAAATATCTTTTCTAATTATTACAAATTATCGTATGATATACTTATCTATTCACAATTCTGAGTTTAGGAATATAATATAATTTTATGTAAAGGAGCCATTGATTTTAATGAGTAAAGCTCCAATGCCTACTGAAAAAAATCAACATTTTGGTCTACCACAGGTTAGATCGATTCATTATTTTAAGCCTGTACTCTGATAATGAGGTTATTTCATTTTAGAAACTGCATTATCTTGAACATCAGCTGCATTTATGAAATGAGATTAGCTGAGTAAATTAGAAAAGATAGAATGGCAGACCTTAATAAATCTTGTCTAGAGCTTTGCTACTAAAACTAAGCAATACAGTTATGAGTAGGTATGCAGGATGCTAATAACTCCATTGACTGTCATGAATAACAATGTTGCTCCTTTGCATCTTTTCTGTTTGTTGGAATGGCATTTCAGTTTTAGGCTAAAATATATGAAACCACTGTACTAATGCAAAGGTACTCACGTAACTTAACAGATGCAAAGCAAGTGGTCTTCTTATTTTATTCTATTTATATGTCTTTCTTTTTGCTAGGAGTTAATTATGTCACCTTTCCTGGTTTAGGCTTGAGCAACATCATAATTCCATTATAATTCTATAGACTTTTTTTTAATCTAAGGGCAAACTGACACTCTTCTTTAGGGTCACATCAGTTCTTGGAATCCTTAGGTGGGAATTGGGATCTATAAATTTTGAAAGAAGTGGTAAAGTCCATACTTTGGGAGGTCATTGATACATTTACATATAAACTTCCAAATTTCAGATTTAATTTTTGGAATACACAGAAGAACTTTGATTTTACAGTCCTTCATTTAATGGATTTCAGATGCAACAACAGAAAAAAATGCACACTGTATGCTTTTGCTAATGTGTAACATCCAATTGGCCACGTTACGCATGGGTGAAAATACATAAAATTTGAATGAATAAAATGCCATTTCAGTTTTATATAAGGTTAAAATAAGCACATGTAAAATCCCATTCCCATTTTATGCATGCATAAAGTACATAAAGTACATTTAAATTTAAGTCTGCTCTGAAGACTTATTGTATTTTTTAAAAATGTTCATGTGTGTCTATATGCAATTAATCTTTTTGAAGAAGAAAGTTTCCATTGTATATCATATTTTATATTAATGTCTTAAAGAAGCATAATATCTTTTTCTTACTTTGACTTCAAAGAATTTCTCAGTTGTCAGGAAGCAGCAGGAACAATTTGTAAGTCAGTGACTAGAATTAGAAAGTTTCCATTCCTAAAATAATAGATTCCTATTTCACAAATACTTTTTAAAATATCCACTTATTATTTATTTATCTATACAGGACAAATAGAGGAAAGCCCAGCCAAGGCTTCGTTCCATTGTGTGTGTGTCTGTGTGTGGTATGTATGTGTGTGTGTCTGTGTGTGTGTTTGTATGAGTTGCCTTATTTTGGCTAGAACAATAGATTCTATCCCATCCTTAGTGAAGTAAAGTGTGTTTTGAGGAAGATGATCAGATTCTATCAAAACTTACTGTTTCAAGGTAAACCTGCTAAGTGAGGAAACTGAAAGCAAAGCCTTTCATAATGGTGGTTTGTGGAAGCTGTGGATTTTTATTACATCTTTCTTGAAGTATCTACCAAGTGTTTGCAAAATTTCTAGTGTAGGATGGTTACTTATTAGGCAATACAGCACCTTGGATACAGGGTCTGAAAAGTCTTTCAGAACATGGGGGATGCAATGCATCCCCATCTATATTATTTTAAAGCAGTTGTATCCTTCCCTTCTATCATATGGCTGAATACAATTGGAGATTTATGCTGTGCATAACTGTTGGTTGTCTTAACCTAAGAATTAAAATTAAAGCATTGCAAAATCGGAGGACTGATCATCTTCATTACCCTGTGAAATTATGTGCACTGTGAACAGATACCTGTGGTGTTTGTTCTTTTTGTTTGCTATAGGTAATGTCTAATTCATCTGGTCCATATTGTATTGAGTAATATGTGACTTGTTTTAAAAGTATTTCATGCATAATTACTTCTAATTTGTGACTATTTTTTAATAGTTAACTATCTGGCTTGGCTCAAGTTTTCCTAAACATCTGTAGAAATGTTGTAAAGTTCATAACATCAGTGCAATGCCAGAATGGGCTAAAGACTGGGCATTTTCTTATTAACCCAAAAGCAAATAAGGAATGAGGTGTTCATTTGTTCAGTATTCATTCATTGAATATTTTGTTCTCTTGATTAGTTGAATTTTTCCTTAAGTTTACATTTTCTCTTTGCGTATAGTAAGATTTTATTTTTCAGATAGAGAAAATGTATATTGTAAGACTAAGCAAAAGAATACTATAGCTATATTTCAATGTATTGATTCTCATTTTCTGTCTATTTATAGAAAGTAGGTGAAAATACAGATATAATATTGCTGGGTAACAAGTGCGATAAGGAGGCAGAACGTGTAATTTCAAAAAACAGAGGAGAAAAGGTAGGCATGTATTATAGGAGATTGCCTTGTTGCTTAAATATTTTGGAATGTATTATAAAAATATACATACAATATGATCATAAAATGCAGTTATTTACTATTGCAGAATAGCAGCATGTTTCAATAGTAAAAAGCAACATAGTGAGGAATTATTTCAAACACTGCTTCTATACTTCGTAAACTGCAAAAATAAACCAACAACAAAAAAAGCTTAGGCATTTAATCTGAAACTTCTATTTTTTTTAATTTCATCAATTTTTTAAAAACATCATTTAAAATTTGTGGGAGCTTTTAAAAAAAAGCATGACCCACCTGCTAAGATTTATGTTATGCCTTTCAACCTTATTAAGAATGCTAGAAAGTAGAAAATAGAACATTTTTAGAAACTATTATATTTCTATCTTCTTCCACTCTACATATTTAACTTTTAAAATAATATCTGTAATTAGGAATTATATAATTATTCAATATAATTATATAATAATTAAATAATTCCCTTCAGTGCAAAAGAAAACCAGTTCATTTGTGGCTTCCAGAATTCCTTCCATTTCAGCTGTGAAAAACCAGTGTTCCTGCATTTTATAACTCCTCAAATGAGTAGAAAAAGAGAAAGTGGCCCAACAGACATACCCAAGGAAAAACACCTTAATGGCATAGATTGAACTTGGCTTCATGACAGGTATTTCAAGTGGCATCCCAAGAAATTACAGTAGTTCTTTTTTAAGTATTTGCAACCACACAACTATGGTAAAAATCATCATGATAGACGATCACAAGGTGGCAGTGCTGAGAGATCTCATTGGCTCACTTAAAATGTTTCAGCTCATTTTCCAATTTTCTATGACTACCCTGCAATTAAGTTAATTTACTAATGGAACAAAATTCATGGTACCTTTCCTTAATTTGCCTCCTGCCTCGGTTTTCTTTATGTTTTGAATTGCTTTTCTATTTCTTTGTCAGAATATGAAAGATTCTGATTTTTTTTTATTACATTTTTATGCTGAACATCTTAACTTCATTAATGAAAGCTTCCTATGAAGCACTATTGGACTAGTTCTGGGCAGCCGCAACTTCAAGTCCACTCTTGGAAACTTACTTAATGACTTTATGTTAGTCACATTATCTCAGCCCAACATACTTCACCAGGTTGCTGTTACAATAAAAGGAAGGGTGGTCCCATGTTAGCTGCCTTAAGGTCATGAAGGAAAGATTGGCTACAAAGCTGAATGAACTAATGTCATTTCTTATAATAGTATTAATAAACCGACAAAAGTATATTAATTACATTACATTTGTAACAGCAGACAATAGTGACTAAAAACACTGTAAGAGGCATTTGAAGAACAAAACAGCTTTCAACATTTCTGCTTTCTCTCTTCACTGTTGTACGCATAATTTATTGACTTCTTTATGATCTAAGGTGGCAATTTTAAATCATTGCTGAGATCAGTTTTTAAACAATTAACTTGAACCAAATTTCCATTAAGGAAATTCATGTAAGGGAAAATTCTTGTTTCCTTCTCTACCATATCCAAGTCTCTCATGATTCTTTTTTTCCCCTTTCACATTAGATTTATAACTTGAACATATAAACATCAGTCACTTTATTTTTGCAAATTATCATATAAGTACTTTATTTTGTTTTTAACTGTGATTGTAGGATACATCTGTGGCACAGGTGTCCAACCTTTTGGTTTGCCTGGACCACTTTGAGTGAAGAGAAATTGTCTTGGGTGGCATATAAAATATATAATATGGTCAATGTATATAAATTCTATAATAATGTTAAAAGTTTACAATCTGGTATGGCTGCACTACCCAAGGGCTGCATGTGGTCCAAGGGCCATGGGTTGGACTCGCTTATCTATGATTTTCTTATTAAACCAAACTTATCTCTTGGATTCACACAGTACACTGAACCATACACTCACCACATGAACTGGCTTCACATAACATACTCGGTTGAAACCTAGCTGTTAGTGTGCAAACCCAGAAGAATCTTCCTTATTCTTTTAATTGAAAATATAAAATGAGTCAACAGGCAATGTTAGATGATTAAAACAGAAAAGGAAGGCACTTTTTTTTCATTCACACAACAGTTTCTAGATTTCTTTTAATACAATTTTCATAGCATGAAAAAGAAGTTCATAAAATGAAAGATACAAGCCAGGCTTTCACTTGAGCGAGATTGTAGAAATCTTTCTGTTATCCATGTTTTCATTTGCTTCCCTCAGATTTGCTTGTGTTATTATTCCAAACAATCAATTATAGAAACTAGACAAATTACAGGTGCTCAAAATAGCTATACATTCTCTGCTTTCCCCCATACTAACCTGAAAAAAAAGATATTTGCCATGGAGCTATACTGAATTCAGGTGACACAATGATATTTGCTACTCAAAAAAGCAGTCTTTTTTCCCAACTCAAAATATTTGTCTTTTCTTTCCTATTTTTCCAAAGTCTCTCACAAATGGTAGCGTGAAGAATATTAAACATCTGAAATCATATTATTTAGTTACTTCTGCAGACTCATTGATGGCTCGTGGGGGGGTTTATGTTCATAGAGACATCAACCGGGAGTATGAGAACTGTCTATAGGATTACTGTCAATTGAAAATATACTTGGAAAGTTTTACATATCTTGGAATGTAGTACATTTTTTTAAAAAAATATTAAGTCCCTAATAAAGTGATTATAATCAAACATTGGGCTAAAACTCTTAATCTCAATTATAAGTACCTTGCATTTTTAATCCAAAAAGAGAGATGTATGCTTGGAGGAAGACTTTACATTTTCTGAAATTATTGTATATGATTTTAAAACATTTGTATTTAAATAGTTTGAAGCTTAAAGAATTTTTCAATTCTGTAGGCTTATCTAGCTCAGTTCAATCTGGCAAAGATCCTTCACATCATTCACTATCTGATCTTTTTACTGGGTATCTCAACAACTAAACATGATTGTGCTTGCATTCAAACCATATGCTGCACCATATGCTCCATAATGATATATTTTCATCATTTTAATGTAAAGTATCTGCTGATTATAAGTAACAAATGTACCATCTTTGAGAATGCCAATCTTTGTGTACTGCAGATTTGAACCTAGTTAATAAAGGAAGTATCTGCTACAGGTTAAAGAAAGCTAGATAAACTGAAAGTGAAGAAGCATCCCTTCAATCATTACTTAAGTATCCCATAATAAGTTTTAATTTAAAATTTTAATTCAATAAATAAAGGAGCAAATATGTGTAGTTGGATGGTCCACAACTTCACCATGGGAATTAGTTTATAATCACAGTGTATGAGCCATCTTTTGAGTTAATTTTACTAAGAATTATATTTTAAAGCAAAGCATTCCTTTATTTCATTTTTTTGCATTCCAGCTTGCTTGGGAATATGGAATACCTTTCTTTGAGACCAGTGCAAAGGATAATATAAATATTGAAAATGCATTTTCAGTTCTAGCCAAAGAAATATTGAACAAGGTAATCTAATTGAAAAACTTTTTTTCTTAAACCATTTCATATGAATTAAAAGAGACTTTCCAATGTAAGAGATCTACCTCCTACCTTTGTGTATTTTATCATAATAATCAAAAAGCTTTAAACAAAGAAAAAATAAACCAGAAAGGCTCAATTTTCAAAAGGTCTGCAATTATTATTACTGGTTTGTTCACTGAATACAATTCTATGGCTTTTCCCCCCATCAGAATTCCTGTGTATTTCTTGACGTAAACGTGGTGGACCTAAATGAAAAACTACAAACAAGATCTTGCTGTAAATTGTGACTGTACAAAGAAAGAAAAAGCTACTAATATTGGTAACTTGGTACATATCAATCCCTAACATATAAATTACTCAATTAAAGTACTGATACTAACTAACAAATGAACAGGTTCTTTATCCATTATCATTTTATTTATTTGCTGTTATAAACCAAATATTAGATTTACATTATACATCATGACTGTAAAAGTTATTCAGAATGGAAGAGTAAAAAAAAATACAAATGATCTTTGAATGTTGGCCATCATAGCTTGTTTATGCAATAAATCTAAAAGGTAAACATGACATCTTTGTGAAGATTTGAATTCATATTTCCTAGTGAGCACTTTTAAACACTTTATAAAATGAGAATAAGGAATAATCTAGAGTGAACTCAGGAATGGTGGTCACTTCAAAGTCTCCAAAGCAACCCAAAATCATAGACGAACACCCAAGAATGACCTGCAAATAGAGATTGAGCAACAACTGATTTCTCCATCTCTCTCCAAGATTCCCAAATGCTTTTACAACACATACTTCTTCTAAGGCTGCTACCAGTTCTCCAGCACCTCTAATTTCCATCAGGAAGGGACAGAATCTTATAAGTAAGAATGCCTCAGATTTTATACTTAGGATATGCCTTTTAACAGTAATTGGAGACAGTTGTTTCTATTTTTGACTACTTACCAATAAGCAACAATTTCAATTCTTTTAAAAAGCCTTTTACCAGAAACAAGTAGAGAAACTAACCACTTACAGAAGCACAAACATTGAGAACAGCGTGGATTTAACAGAAAAGATACTTAAACTCCAATAGGAGAGAAATTCCCTATTACTGTATGATGAAAAGAGGGAGGGGGCAATTAACAGTTCGCTCCTTCAGCATATCCAGGTTAGGTTTTCCTACTTATCAGAGCTTATAAGAGTTGTTGGGACAACAAAAGGGCTCTTGTTTTATCTTTAAGCAAATTCCTCCAATGTTAACTGCATCTGATATACTTACAAGCAGCGAAATGGTTACCCAGTAAAATAGGATGTAAAAGAGATTTGTTAACATTCAAATACCCTATAATCAAAATGATGGATATATTTCACACACTCATTTTTTTTCATTCAACTATACAAGTTGGAGATCTCTCTGTAGATACAAGGGTAAAAAGCTGCCCACTGCAAATAGCCTTAACAAAGAGAAAATCAGATATGCTACTTTTTGACAATTAACAACATAGATTACAGATGAAGCTGTAGAAGTATGGCTGATTCATTCTTTTACAACACTGCCAAATTGTGTGTAGCTCATCTAGCAATGTTCCTGTCTTGTCTACCTCGTACGGCGCTGGAGACTTACATAATAACCTATGAAAGCACTGTAGCTTAAGCTACAGATGGCCTGATTTGCCTTTGGCTACTGGAGGCTTGCAGTGGTTAGATTGCAGTATTGCAGGCTAACTCTCCTCACAGCCTGAAGTTCAATCCTCACCAACTCAAGGTTGACTCAGCCTTCCATCCTTTCGAGGTTGATAAAACAAGGACCCAGATTGTTGAGAGCAATATGCTGACTCTGTAAACCACTCAGAGTATGGGCCAGTACATAAGTTTAAGTGCTATTGTTATTGCTATATTTATATCCTTACTTAAAAAAATAAGAAATATTGGGGCGTCCAAGATAAACTATTGTAATTCTCACATGTAATTAACTTGTACTGTATATTACTAGGAAGATTGTGGTTTTCATATCAAAGACCACTCTGAAGAGGATAACCTAGAACACATTGGGGTTATCTTGAGGGTGATTATTTATTATGAATATGTCCTATTGTTTTCTCTGTATTGTTTTTATAGCTTATTGACATGGTCAATGACTAAGCAATTAAAACATTAATCATATAATTATACAATTTTAGATAATTTGCCATTGAAGGAAAATTCTAATGGTGCTTTTTAAATTAAAGCAGGGGTCCCCATCCCCCAAGCTGTGAGCTGTTCAGAACTGGGCCACCCAAAGTAGTGGGTGAGCACACATGTGCGTGTCCATGCCTACTTGCATGAGCAGCGGGCAAGCATGTTTGTGAGTGCTCCATTTGCATGAGCAGCTGGCACATGTGCCCGCTGGTCACACAAATGGAGCTGTGTGCGTGTGCTTGCTCCCATGGAACAGCCCCTCCCCCCGCCAGTCCACAAAGCCGGAAAGGTTGGGGAACTCTGAATTAAAATTTATCTCAAAGTTACCAGCCTATCTTTCTAATATAAAATAGAATATTACTTCCAAATATTCCTTACGGATTTTTTTTTAAAGCCCCTGAATATTAAATATTTACCCCCCCTTTTGAGAATTAACATTAGGATAGCTTTGATATCCTCACACTTGCAGCTTTCATGGGCTTAAAAATTATTACATCTTTTTAAAGAACCGGATAAAGCAAGTGAAAAGAAGAGATGAAAATATATTACCTATTTCTTATCCCATTATTAAGGCAGCAGGAAACCTCAGGCTCCCACATGAATCATTGTTAAGTTCAAATGTTCAGGCAGCATTTATAACATAAGTCACTTTCAGTTCCACTTTGCTCAGGAATAATTTTATTACCTCCCTGGATGAGGAAGGTGGTTATCATGGCTGGCAAAAAATGCTATTGGTTAGTTAGGAAGATAAATTTATTTCTGTGTAAATAATGACACTTATAAAACTTGTTATACCAACCGCCAGAAGTTGAGGTCATTTGAGGATTTAAGTTGAATGCAGAAACATTGGAAAACAATCATATCTTGAGTTCACACCAAAGTTTAGTAGCAGAGGCCAGTTCCACTGTATCATGCTTTACAGAAGAGTTAAATAGGTCAGGCATAATGTTACAAAGATTCTGATCCTTCATGGTAGAAGACTCTCAAAAGGTTTGTGCTAGAAAATTTCTGTTCCACTTCACGATTATCAGCTAAGAAGTGCTGTAAAGTTCCATCTTGTGACCCAAGTTGTAATGAATCTGTACGTTCTGGGGAAAGTCAGTATGATTGTCACATTTACCTTTCACTTCTATCTACTTACCCCATGAAACTACAGAACTCTTAAAGGAGCATCACAAGGCTTCTTGTCATGGACAACAATGAATTTAAGGAGGCTTAGATCAGGTCTTTGATGAGGCTGTATATTTGAAGGATTGTATATTTTGAGAAACTTTTGCCATCCCATTACATCAGCCCATCCCAATCGATCAGGCAGGGAAAATACATTGCAGATCCTGTCAGTTAAAGAACTCTGACTGCTGGGATCTAGAAAGAGAAAGAACCATCTCTGCCGTTGCCCCTGCCCGGTGGAGTATTTTCCCCACTGAGGTAAGGCAACCCCCTACTCTTCTGACTTTCTGAAAAGGAGTCAAAGCATGGTTCTGTGGCCTTGCATGGAGAATCCAAAGGAGCACATAGCCATGGAGTTGGCTGATACCCTGAGAACCTTGCCTTCAACTTTTTAACTAATTTTAACAGTGTATAATCATCCTTGATTGCCTCTAAATCTATAATTTTTATATATAATTTTTATATTTTAACATTTTATTGTACACTGCCCAGAGACTTTCTCTGAGGGAGATGGGCAGTTCAAAAATGTAATAAATGAACAAACAAGCATTCTGTACAAAGCTGCCTTTAAAGATTATCTGCAAACTTGAATTGGTGTTAGAATCTAAATACCCAGGAGTTGGTAAGAACAAGAAGTCAGAACATATGATACCTGTAGGGCACTAACTATGATTTCCAAAGCTAATTAAAATTGTTGGTATTCTGGGACCAAGATACGTGAATAATAGTTTTCACCTATATCAACATGTCAATACTTTTTAAGACAGGAAGGGGGACTCATCACATTTACAAGTTGTTCTCTTGGTTTCCATAGGCTGTGATATCCATATGGATTGCCGTCTCAGTAAATTCTGACATTTTTCATGAAAGCCCTAGAGTCCTATCTGTTCCTTCAAAGTTCCCCATGACTGGCTCTCTTTTGAGATTTAGCTGCAATACAGTCTGTTTTCAATACTCTAGGGCAATGTTTTTCAACTTTGGCAGCGTTAAGATGTGTGGACTTTCATTCCCAAAATTCCCCAGCCAGCATGCTTTTTTATTCTTAAGAGCTTGAAATTACTTTAAGTATAGGCAGCACTCATTCATAGTTGTATGACCACAGTTATAAAAACCCTATTTTTTTAAAGATCTACCTAATATGCCTGACTTCTTTAGTTCAAAAACTTATTTCTGCCTTTCCTTTGGGAGACAGTGTCAGCAAGGCAGGCTTGAGATGTTGTCACATTGAACTAGGTATATTTTCTGTCAGACATAACTTACTTTACTGAACAAAACAACATCTGTGACATTCCCATTGGTAACCAGTCAATTACCTTAACGCATGAGAGAGCACTAGAAGTGAACATCAGTTCTTTCCCATGTCATTTTTTCAAAGCAGTCATAATACCAAAAGAGAGGATATATTTATGTATTTTACCATAGAGAATCTAATGGTAAAGGCACTAGGCTAGAAAGCAGGAGACTGTGAGTTCTAGTTCCTACTTAGGCATGAAAGCTGGCTAGTTGATTTGGGCCAGACACTATGTCAGTACAGCCCACCACATAGAGTTATTGCTGTTGTGGGAAAAACAAGGAGAAGGATTTTTAGATCTGTTCACTGCCTTGAGTTATTTATAAAAATAATAAATATGTTGGATAAAAATCAAATATATTTTTAAAAGCTATATTATATATTAATTATTCTATATAAATTGTGTAACTCCAGGGGCTCTTGGCTAACTATTGAATTGAAACTATATAATGAATAATGGTTAAAAGCAATTACAGGTAGTTCTCACTTAACTAGTCACTGTACTATTTGAAGTTATGATAGCCACAGAATGGATTTTTTTATGGCCTGATAACCACCCCTGGGCTGTCATAAATGGTCATGCTGCCCTCCCATGGTCACTCAGCCGCATTTGGGGGGGGGGGTTATGGTGTTCCAGTCACATTTTGCAATTTTTTTTTTTTTTTTGCAGTTTCTGGCTTTTTTTGTTGTTGTTGGTTACCAGCAAAAAGAGCCCATTCAAATGAATGTGTTCACTTAACAATTGTGGTGTTCACTTAATGACTACTATGAAAAAGGCTAGAAAATTACTTCTGGTCACATGGCTTGATTTATGACTACAATGACTTACAATTGTAATTCCAGGCTGAATGATGATTGTAAGTCGAGGACTGTCTGTAAAATCTTAAAAAAATACCAAACAATGATGGCCTACTTAGTCACTAAAATTGTAACTGTTCTTTCGATGGCCTTGGAGGGGGGAACTCTTGTGCCTCAGGGAAAAGGAAAGCAGCCACCAATAACACCTCCCTACATGCCCCCTTCAGTCATACCTTTTGATAAGAAGGGCCTTCAGGCAAGGACTCCCTATTCTCCTGGATCGGTTGGGCAGAATTTACTTAGGATAGCTAGTCTCCAAGAGACCTGTAGCTTTATTGACAATAACCAGCATATTGAATTGCACTTGGAAACAGCAGTAACTAGCACAGCCCCCATAACTGTGATGTTGTTAGACAATACCGCATTGCACAGTAAGCACACAGGCTGTTGCATTATGTATTAACTGAAGTTTCAGAGTGGTCTTCAAGAGCAACTACCCCTCCCCCAAGTTAACTGCAATAATCCAGGCATGAGATGACAAAGGTATGTATAACCATACTGAGAGCATCCTGTTCTAATTAAGACTGCAGCTGAAATACCAGCTGGGCAAAGGGCCTCTTGGGCATGGTTTATACTTGGTCTAATTTGGATAGAGCAGGGGTAGGCAACCTTGGCTCTTTTATGACTTGTGGACTTCAACTCCCAGAATTCCTGAGCCAGCTATCCACGAGTCATAAAAGAGCCAAGGTTGCCTACTCTGGGCTAGAGTGAAGACAAAAAAACAAAACACAAAACACTAAACTGCCAATACATAAAATAAGTATATCTCTTTTAACTTATGGCCATCTGCCACAATTGCTACAAATGCTAACATTTTAGGGTCATTATCTCATTGTTTACCTGAAGCAGTACACACATTCCTCCAAAGCAATAGTTTTAATCAAAAATGTCTTTAAGTTATATACATGAATTTTCTAAACTGAAAGATTCAATTCCATCTTCAATTACAAGAAAATCTTGTGTAATACTTATGTTTAATGGTGTATAATATGGATTCTACTGTGCTTTAGAACTAAGAACAAAAGTACAGTGGCATGAATGTGGCACCTGTCTGTAATTTATAAAAATATACATGTCTTTTTTTGAGATTACATGGTTGGCTTCCACCACTGCCATTTGATTCTGAGGTAAAAAAGCATTTGGTTTAAGAAACTGCAGAAAGGTGTGTGTGTGTAATATTTTTTAAAAAACAGGGCTACCATACATTATATTAGTTGTAAAATCTAGATGTCCGTTTTAACAGTTAAGTATTAGTTCTTTCTAATGTCTCTGCCATCCTTGATTAGCTGGATTTTTGTAATCTAAAAATAGTAACCCTAGGTTTTGAACCTTGTAATTCTCATTACATTGACATGTACTTGTTATTTGTAATAGACCACTACCTTAAACGTAATATATACCGTATTTTCCGGCATATAAGACGACTTTCTAAACCATGAAAATTTTCTCAAAAGTTGGGGGTCGTCTTATATGCCCAGTTGTCTTATACGCCGGAAAATATGGTACATCAAAGCAAGCTCCCCCATATCCTGCGCCCCATGCTCCTCACCCCTTGGCACGGGGATTGGCTGTCCGGATGAGTTTAAGTGTCCCACACAGCCAAACAGCCCTAGAAAAGTGTCCCTCCGAGAAACAGCTGGGAGGAAGGGGCGAGGTTGGAGTGTTGGCAGACCAATGGTGGAAGAGGAGCACTGGGGGAGAGCCAGCTGAGTAAGAATGCCCGTGTTGGGTTAGCGGCGGGGGTTTCCCGAGAAGAAGTGCCCCTGCCCCCCTTGCTGCCGAAGTGCTGCTCAGTGCTTGCAGGCCAGTGATTTTGCAGAAGCTGGGAGGGGCAGCTCAGGCGGGGATCCTGCCCCTCCCAGTTTAGGGCGGTGGAGGGAGGCAGTGCGAGCAGGGCTTTTCCTCCCCAGGGGAAATCCCCCTGCCACCAGCCTCTGCTCGGGTGGGCGGCAGGAGCAGCTGGTGGGAGCCGTCGGGCTGCACAGAGGGTGCCGCTTCCTCGGGGTTGACAGCATCCGGTGCCGTCGCGCTGAGCGCCAGAAGCCCTGGGACCCCGACTGACCGACGCTCAGAGTTTCCTCCTCTGTGCTTGGCCGCTTCTTTGACAACCTGCTGCCGTGGCTGGTGCTCTTGCTGCGCAGATGACAGAGCGATCCGCCCGCAGGGTGTCATCCCAGAAGCGGTCTGTTGGACAGCTGGGCTTGGCTAGTGCCGCGACCTGCTTTCGTCCCCCCTTTAAACCTCCCTGATCAGCACCTGGAAGAATGACCTCAGCTCCACCATGGAGATCAACAGCGTCGGTAACACGGGGGTGTTCAGCTGCCTCTACAAAACAGCAGTCTCGGCTCCGACAATCCCATCTGGCCATCCCCGCCGCAGGGCATCCAGCACCAGGGGCCCCAGCCCACCTTTGGCTTCACTGGAACTTCTGGCTCTGCCAGAAGGCCAGGATTGTGTTCCTGTGTGTCTGGGGGGGGGGAATCTCACCTCTGATGGTAGAATATTCTGGGGGGGGCACAACAGAAATCTTCTCTTGGAGCCCAGCAGCAGAAATTCTTTGGCCAGTAGGATCCAAATTAGGCTGCTTCCACTGGAATGAGAGGGGCCAGCTAGTCCCATTGCTAGTTCCTCATATACTGCAAAGCTTCACAAGTGCACTCCCATGCTTATTATGGGATGTTACCCAGCTACATTTATCTTCAGCAGATCAGGAACAAGCGATGAAATATAATGAAATGCTAATGTGTTTAGGGCTTACATTACTTTTATTAGAAAGTTAAAGTACCCGTATTTTCCGGCATATAAGATGACTTGCTAAACCATGGAAATCTTTTCAAAAGTTGGGGGTCATCTTATATGCCCAGTCGTCTTATACGCCGGAAAATACGGTATAGTAATCAGAATTAAAACCAAATAAGTTTTCTAATTAAATATGGATATATATTTTGAAGAGAAATTTCATTTTAATTTGCATGTTTTGTAAGGGTACTACTCTGAAGAGATTATCCAGGATTGGATAATCCTGTTTTCTTGGTAGCTCTTCCTGGTACTTATCTACTTAGCATTTAACAAACCTATAATGCCGAGTTACTTCAAAGGAATATTGTTCTAACACAATTATTTATACCATATTGAACCATCATTGTTATGTTTCATTCCTCTGGTAACATTTACTGCCTTTATCACATTTGCAGAACTGGAATAGTTTTCAATTAAATCATTGGGTTACCTTAAACTTTGCAAGGTTGTGGGATACCAAGCATTTTTTATGAGAAATACCTAGGGCATTCTTTTTTAGCTGTGTTTTTAACCTTAGTGTATAGGTTAGCTCACCAATTCACCAGCTGAAAGCTGCTTTTCTCCCACTTTTTAAAAATATACGAACTGCTTTTATTGGGACTTTTCTTGTGGGAAAGGAGCGAGATTTGACCCTCTGTTATACCTGCTGCTGTTCTACATTGTTTTATCTTGTCCCAATGCTGATGCAGAATGTCACACTTGCCTTTCAGAGACTGGAATGGAGCAGGTATAGATGATAAGACTGATGGCAACAGGGCTGGGTTCTGGCTGGAATGCAGACACACTTGCTGTGAGGTGAGGGCTGGAAACATAGGGAACATCTTACTGCCTTCCTCCTTGCTGTTTTCATAATTCTCTGGTAGAGGATCATAACCAGTGGGGCTGAGCTCAAAAAATACATGACTTAAATCTTTATTACAGTCATAGACCAGCATTTGTGACTTACATTCTGTCTTTCCTCCAGCAGCTCAGGGTGATATACATATCAGTTCTTGGGCTTTAATTTCCTCATCCCATCACACCCCCAGCAATGTTATCAACTAGGAAGAGTTGAGAATGACTGGTGCAAAGTTGCACAGCTAATTTCCATGGCTGAAGGTAGATTTGAACTTGGGTTTCTCTGCTGCTGATCACTGTTATAACCATTAACTTTCTCAGTAAGTAGTATAAGGCTGCATGTCATGCTAGGCTGTGTGCGTTTTGGATCAGTTGTGCTCATATGGTTCACAGTGCTAATAGTTCACATAAGATATATTAAAAAGCACTGTACCAGCATCTTCTATAATGGCTGTCATTGTGTCCTACTCCACATCTTTATATGTTTTCAATCATTTTGAAAGAATAGTAAAAATTGTCCTTGGTTTGCCCTATAACAAAAAACTTGGGTCAAGATTACAAGCAGGTTGAGCAAGTACCCGCAAGTACATTTTGTGCAACTCAATCACAACTGGTTTAATTTGAAAAACTACATTAACCATGATTTAGTGTATTGTGTGAACATAGCTTCAAGGAATTCAAGGGGATTTAACTCCCAAATGAGGCTGTTCTGCTGCAGCAGAACACAGCAGCCAAAAAAATATTGGTCAGGCTTTCTCATTATGATCGGCACAAGCTATTTCTTCTGAAGGTAAATCCCAGTTTTTTCTGCTTCTTTCCTTTAAGCCGAAGCACCGAAGCTTGCAGTTTTAAGAAAAAATAAATAACAATAGTAACATTTTACTGATTCCAGCCTGAACTGGGGTAGCCAAACTGCATGCCTTTTTAGCGGTCGGGAGAGGGAGCGAGAGGGCCAGAATTGGCGGCAGGCGGGCGGGCGGTTGTCCGTCCCTCTCCCCCCCCCTTCCCTGGTTGATTAGGGAAGGAGGGAGCGCCGGGGCTTCACTTTCCCTGGGAGTGGAGAAGAGGAGGAGCGCAAACTGCGCAGGCGTCTCTCGCACCTTGTTGATTAGTCAGTCCCCTGTGCTGGGATGGCGTTTACTGGGTCAACTGGAGCTACTAGCGAAAGAGTCAGGGGGAGCGACAGCAGCCGCCTTTGCAACCCACGCCGCGGCCGGCGGAGTAGCAGCGGTCGGTGCCAAGTCACCTTGCCGTTGAGCCAAGTCCAGAATGGCTCGGGAAGGCGACCGCAGCAACACTAGAGGCTGAGGGAAGAGTGCAGCTTTCCCCAAAGACTTCGCCGCCGCTTGGATCTTCCGATCGAAAGAAGGGCGGGAAGATGGATGCGGCCCCCTCGCCGGGCTTCAGTCTGAAGGATGTGAAATGGAGCTCCGTGTCCATCCCTTTGGACCTTCTGGTTAGCACTTACCGCTTGCCCCAGGTCGTCAAGCTGGACGGCGGTAAGTGGAACCGCAGCGGCCGGCGGGGCAGAAAGCAGCCTGACATGCCGCTCGGCGAGAGCTTTGGCTGCGCTTGGGAGCGATAGAAGGGGCAAGAAGCCGAGCCGTCAGGGGAGCCTTTGCGCGGCAGCGGCGGCGGCAGGAGAGACCCACTCCTGTCCCTAGTGAGGCGCCGCCAGCGCTGCCTCCCTCCGCTTGAACGCTGGCCAAACTCCAGTTCCCGGCCGCTAGTCCTTCTGGGGAGAAGAGCCCATTGGGGAAAGCGGCCACGTGACCAAAATATGAATGGGCCCTAACGAGGGGGGAACGCCAGGGCTTTCAGCCGGTGGAGTAATGCGGTCGGGAGGGAGGTCAACTCTGTCGCCCAGAGAGGCTGGTGCCGTCTGTGCGCGACGCCGGGAGAAGATCCTTGAGCTGCGCTTGAATGATACTGTTGGCTCCTTTGGAGTCCAATTCGAGCAATTGCTATTAGCAAATGCGGCAGCTTAAAGTCCTGATATTTTGGATGGAAACAACCAAAGAGAGAAGCAACCTAGAACTAAGGAGAAATTTCTTCACAGTTAGAACAATTAATCAGTGGAACAACCTGCCTTCAGAAGTTGTGAATGCTCCAACATTGGAAATTTTTAAGAAGAGACTGGACAACCCATTTGTCTGAAATGGTATACTATAGGGTTTCTGCCTGAGCAGAGGGTTGGACTAGAAGACCTCCAAGGTCCCTTCCAACTCTAGTAGTAGTAGTAGTAGTAGTAGTAGTAGTAGTAGTAGTAGTAGTAGTAGTAGTAGTAGTAGTAGTAGTAAAATTCAACTCCATTCCTACTGAGTTTTCTTAGCAAGTGCATTACCATTACCTTCTTTCTAATCCAGACAAATTCAACCTGGTTTGTGTGTATGTCTGTGTATGCAAATACACTTGCCCAATGTAGGGGGGGGGGGGTGTTAAAAGTTAGGACTGAGCTCCTGAGCAATGTAATTGGAAATTAAATCCCATAAAGATCTTTGGGGATGGAAAAGTAACATCAGTGGATGGAATCCAACTTAAGAATTAAGTATACTAAATTTGTTTGAAATAAGTGGAAAACTGCAGAGAGACTTGGATTATGGCCGAATCCTCAAAAGAGTATTGAAGGTAAAGGTTGGCTTGGTACAAAGCGGTGGTTTGTTGAACTACTAGCCATAGACTGGGCTATTACCGTAGATCTGAGCTACAAAAATCCAAATGAAAAGATACAAAAAATGCTGCTATTTAGTGGTCACTTGGATTTTTGCAACCCAGATCTTGTAGCTCTCCACACTAAATCTAAGCAGGAATTATTTATTTCTATGTATGATCCTAGTCTAAATCAACTTTGTTTTAATTCATCCTAATTGGGTCTGTAGGGAGAGAAATTAGAAGATTGAAGTAAAAATAAACATTCACCCCTCCATCCATCCTGTATGCAGAAACCGTGATCTTCACTTGGGCTAGCATTTTTTTTATGAACAAACTTTGATGCTCCACCAAGTTCAAATAGAAGAAACCTTGACCACCGGTAGTTTGTTTAGTTTGTTTGTTGTCCAGCATGCATTTGTCCACAATTAATGTTACATTATGTCTCATGCCATGCCAGAGTGCTCTGTGACATAGTAAGAGGCTTGAATCCAACTGAAATTTAAAAATAGTCTTAGCTGTTAATCTTTTAAAATGATTTTGTTTCCCAAATTCTCAGAAATATAACTCTATATTTAAAGACCCATTAATATATTAGCTTATTCTGACAGGTTATATTTAACTTTGAAAGAATGCATTTCGAGAAACTGCTGTTCATGAAATACATTATAGTAATAGTGACAGCTATTGCACACTCCTGAAGTCTCACTGTGCTTCCAAAGTGAGTCAGAAGCACTCACAATGGTTTGTGATAGGTGTCTTTTGACTGCTTGTTTTGAAGAAAAACTTTCTTATACTGATTCTGAATGTTTACTTTCTGTGCCAAGTGTTAAGTAAAATTTTACTCTTTGAAAACATTTATGTTATGCGTTTTTGAGACACAAATACAGTTTATAGTAAAATGCAACAGATTACAATGTTTACTAATTTGAAGTTTAATGTCTACATACCGGTAGCAGTATTTATGCCTTCTTTAAATATTAAATAGATTCTTACATCACCTGTTCATCCATTCTTACATCACCTGTTCATCCAGATCTGTCAAGTATTTTCTGAACTGATTATATCAGATCTTCAGTAAATCAGAAACAGTGCCTTTCATAAGTATTTAATTTTTTTCTGTAATATTAGTTTATACTTAGTTCTAATGCAATATAAATTTGCGTAATATTGCATTAGAACTAAAGCAAAAAACCAAACTGCATATCGTGTTTTGCTAAAGTGCACAAAGGGTGATTGGCGTTTTCATTGCTGGGAATTCCAATTTTATGTTTTTCTCTGCACCTTTTATTTTCTCTCATATGCAGCAGTACTAACAATGATATTGATGTTCACCTTTCTTTCCTTTTAAATAAATTGATTTCTAAATCTAGACCAGCCTCAGTTGTGATTTATATATCTGAAGTAGGGAGATTTTTCATTGAATTTAGATTTACGTACCTGCCAAGTTAAATACAGTTATGTAGTTTATTTAATATCAATGTGTTCTATTGAAGTTATAAAACTTTACAGCTTGGTATTATATGTAAAATAGTCACTGAGTTTTTCAACAAACCATGGTTTAAAAGCAGGGCTTTCCAACCTTTTCACCCATTGTATCACTTTTAGGATATGGCAACATTCGAGTACCACCAGCCACCTAGCAAGGTGTCAAAAACTTGATGACCCCCCCCCCAAAAAAGGAAAAAAGTGATGAAGTACAGGTAATCCTCAACTTACAACAGTTCGCTTAGTGACTGTTCGAAGTTACAATGGCACTGAAAAAAGTGTCCCCCAAGCCTCAGCCGAGCAAGACACCTGCCTGCCCGCCTGGCGGCTCTCTTCCTCCTGTCCGAGTTTTCATTGTTGTGAGCATTTCTGTTGAGGGTTGGCAGCGGGGTTGGGGGGGGTTGGTTTTTATTCCCCCCGTCTGCTGGGTGGTTGCAGCAGGTTTTGGTCCCATGACCCTGGGACACTGTGACCGTCATAAATATGAATCAGTTGCCAAGCATCTGAATGTAAATCACAAGACCCTGAAGATGCTGCAACATTCGAGCTGATCGGCACTTCTTTTGGGCTCAGCAGAAGTGTCAGGATTAGTGCTGCTTTCCAGCTGATTGGTGCTTCTTCAGGACTCAGCAGAAGCGCCAGGATCAGCGCCAAGCTCCAGCTGGAGCCTGGCGCTGATCCTGGAGCTTCCGCTGAGCCCTGACAGCCCTGAAGCGCTGATCAGCTGGAAAGCGGCACTGATCCTGGCGCTTCCGCTGAGCCCTGACAGCTCTGCAGCTCCAGCCATTTCTTGCTCAGGCTTGTGCGGTGCTGCCACCAGTTCAGCTCATTCCCGTCCCCTGCTACTTTTCTAGGGTGGTCGCATACCACCTGCCAGGTGCCAATATACCACAGGTGGTACCCGTACCACTGGTTGAGAAGCCCTGGTTTAAAAGGACAAAGACCTAGTGTTATATGTGGCGTCAACTACTTTCTGTTTCCTGTATGTATTGCTCCCAAATGTTTTCAGCAATATTTCCTGAAATCATAATTTTATCTTGGCATTCATCCCATTATCTTATTTACTACTTTCTATTTTATTCATTTATATCTCCTGTCTCGGCTGCAATTCTTTGAAATCATGTGGACATCTTACCAAATCTACTGGCCATTCTGTCTTTTATAGTCATTTCGTTTGTACCTAGTAGCACCATTATATGGATATCAGTTCAACAGTCAGTGCCATTGAGTTCAGCGAGGCTTATTCTTAATTGCTTAATTATTTCATTACACCAAAATCTTTGCTCCAGAGTTTTCTGTTCTTTCATGCAGTGGCTACATGTTCAAATACACTTATGTAAGACTTTCTTTGCTTAACATTTTACTTACTTATTCTGTTTGCATATTACCAAACCAATACAGACTCGGAAGAGTTTATAGAACTCCAATAAAAACAGGTGGTCAATTAAAATAACCACAATTGGTATTATAAACAATCTAAAAGACCATTAAGTAACACCTGCCTATCCCAGGTCCTTGGGAGGGACTCGATAGGTGGATTAAAATGCCAAATCCAGTCTGGCTGGCTATACAGTGAACCATAATAAATAATGAAGCTGAACAAACAGTGGACTACCTAGTTAGCTGCTGCAAGAAGATCACACAGATTTAGGCAAATATTTGCAAAACAAAGTATCAACAATGGTACATCAGAATGTCTGTAATAAATACCTGGTGGGACCACAAAATAGACAAATAAATAAACTAAAGTGCTTTGGCACTTTAGAATTCAAATAGACAAATACCTGCTACATAAAACCCCAGATTTAACACTTATCTGTAAGAAAGACAAAAGAGTCTGGATGGTGGACATTGCTGTATTTGGAGAGGAGCAAAATCACAAAATACAAAGTTCTGCAAATAGAACAACTGTGGCAAAAGAAACTAAGGATAATACCAATAGTAATAGGCACTTTGGGTACAATCACAAATCAACTGGAACTCCAGCTGAACATCAGCATTGACAAAGATCACTATCAGTCAATTGCAAAAGGCAGCTTTGCTTGGAACAATTTACATCCTATGACATAATACCATTAAACAACATCTGCCTATTCCAGATCCATAGGAAGGAATCAGGGGGTGGATAAAAATGCTAAATCCAGTCTGGCTGGCTGGCTCTGTGACCAACCATTATTATTTGTTTGTTAAATTTATTTGCCACCCATCTCACTATGGGGCTACTCTGGATGGCTTACAACAATGGAAAAAAAGATAAAAAATGTAAAAATAATAGCAAAGCAACAGTTAGCAAAACATAAATTAAACCCTGGAAGAGGAAAGGGCTTTAGAAAGAAACTTAAAATGAACCTGTCTTGATTTG